GATGAATCAAAGACCCCCATATGCAGCCTGGACACCTAAATGGCCCTTCCCCATATGTGAAACAAGAAATACACACACACATATGTGTGTGTGTGTGTGTGTGTGTTTCTGTCTCCAGTTCCTGAAACAGAGCTCCTAATTCCCCAGGCGACAGGAGCATCTTTTGTTCTAATGAGACAACTCTTGGTAGGCTCCCGGATAGCTTCAGGATGGGGGCTGGTCACCAGAAAGACCAAACTGTGATTAGAAGCCTGGAACTTTCAGTCCCACACTCCATCCTCTGGGAAGGGGACAGAGGCTGGCGATTAGGTTAATAACTGATCATGCATACACGATGAAGCCTGTGGGGAAGAAACTTTGCTTTCCTAAGGTTCTCTCAGCTGGTCTAACAATTAAACCTGCACGAGACAGATGAACAAGAGAAAATAACCACATTTAATTACATACATATGCATAAGAATGCCACATACATGAGGGAGTCAGGGACAGAAAGTTAAAATGAGGTATATATGATATATATATATATATGTATGGGCTTTAGCACAAGTGATGCCATTTTGGACTAATAATTAGATCAACATGAGACAGATTAACAAGAAAAAAAAGCAAATTTAATTACACGTGTATGTCTGGGAACCCCACATACATGGAGAGTCAGAGACCCCATGTACATGAAAGGTTCAGAGACAGAAAGTTAAAATGAGGTCTATATGGCTTTCAGTGCTAAGGATGAGGTAAGGCACCTTAGGGCTTCAGAGAGGGGGTCATTACCAGGAGAACAGGAAGAGAAGAAACTCAGTAATTAGATGTTTGCCCTGCTCTCTACATAGGTCATAAAACATTATCTCCAGTAATGACTTATTATGGGCAAGGCCCCTAATTTAAATTGTTTTTAAGGAAGAGGTAAAAGTTCCTTGTGAGCCTACAGGGTCCTGATTTGCCTTCAGTTCAAAATAATTCATATGCCAAGTGGCACATTTGGTGGAGGCCTGTTCTGAACTCTACACCTCCATAAAATGCATATAAACTATGGGGTTCAGAGAGCCTCTGGGTTGGTGAGTGCATCCATGTGCTAGGAGGGTGGTGTACCCCCAACTCCACAGGGACAGTAGCTCCTGTCCTCAGAACCCCTCTGGACCTCTTCATCTGACTATTCATTCGTATCCTTTGTAATATCCTTTATAATAAGCTGGTAAATAGAAGTGTTCCTAAAGTTCTGTGAGTCATTATAGGAAATTATCCAACCCCAGGAGGAGGTCTTGGGAACCCCTGGTTTATGTAACAGCTGGTTGGAAAATGGTTTCAGCCTATGGGCTAGCTCTGGTCAGTGATGCTCAGTGGTTAGAGTATCAGCCCACACACCGAAGGGTCCTGGGTTTGATTTCTGATCAAGGGCATGCAGTCTAGACATTCTTTGGTCAACAAGAGCCACACAAGAAGTTCCCTGCTCCTAAAGTTAGCAGCTGTTTTCATCTCCATGTGTGTATCCAAGGCCCATCCAATTTTACTCCGACTTGAGGTCTGTATAGGCTTTCTCTGGGGAAAGTCACTTGGGAAGGGTCTCTTTTTGCCTGGATGAGGCTGTCGGTTCCTCGCTTAGTCTATTGGACACTGAAACTTCTCACTGTTTTGGTCTCCTGATGGTCTGTCTAGGCTTTCCTGTCATCCAGGGGAGTTTATTCTTATTTTCATACTTCTTCTGTCATTTCAGTGGGATTTGAGCAATAAAGAGGCTCTAAGTTTATTATTTTAGTAAGCTTTCAAAAATTGTGGTTATTAGTGGGTTTTGGAAGAATAGATGTCTATTTTGCAACTTGCAACCAACTTCAGATACTATTACTTCTTCACAGTTGCACTCTTACCCTCAGAGTATGCCCTTGGGATGCTTAATGCCAGTGAGCCCTCATGGCTTCCCACCCTGATGTTTCAGCCAGGCTCATGCCAACGCCTCCAAAAGCCCCTGGGGTTACACAGGGGAGGCCAGGCAGGGAGCTAGCATTAGGTGGGGGTTCTAACTCCATTGATCGGAGTGGTTCAGGCAAGTGTGAGAGAGCCCCTGAAACACACTAAAGAATTACTTTATTTCTCCAGTCTGATTTCATTTTTAAGATCCTTGTATCAGATAGGCTCCTTGTCCTCTATCTCCATAGAAGATTTCACCAATTCGTTTAGACTGGCCATAGTGAGATATGATATTGTGATATAACAAGAAATATAGATTTGATCTTCAATCCCAGTTCCTAGCATAGAAATTCTAAAACCCTTGGAATTTCCTGTGTGGTGGGGTGAGGAACATCTTTTGTTATTCATAACAAGCTCCTTTCAACCACACCAGAGTTTATGCTAATGAGGTGACTTGGAAGAGAGGGGCCTGCTGCCAGAGACCAACCCTGTGATAAGTGGGTTGGAACACTCACTATATCCCTGACCTCCAGGGAGGGGAGAGAGGCTGAGGATTGCTTTAACCATCAATGGCCAAAGATGAAGTCAACCATCCTACACAATGGAATCTCAGCAAAAACTCCAAATAAAGAGGTTTTGAGAGCTTCTGGGTGAGTAAACACATCCAGGTGCCGGGAGGTTGGTGCACCCCAATTCCACAGGGATAGAAGCTCCTGGCCCTTCCAGACCTAGCCCTCTGTACCTCTTCATTGGTATCCTTTATAATAAACCAGTAATAGGAGGTAAAGTCTTTCTTTGAATACTGTGAGCCATTCTAGCAAATTGTTGAGCCTGAGAGGGGATGGTGGGAGCCCCTGATTTGAAGCCAAATCAGACAGAGATTTTGGTAACCTGGGGGCCATGACTTGTGATCACTGTCTGAAGTGGGGTGGCTGGGGGTAAGTCTCATGGGCCTGAGCCCTCCATCTGTGAGGTCTGTGCTAACTCCAGATAGTGAGTGTCAGAATTGGTTAAGTGAGGGAAAAAGCCTCACACACAAGGAGTCAGAAGTGTGTGCATAGAGAAATAATTTTCTTTGAGGTTATTTAGGTTACAAGGAAAAAACTCAAATATTTGTCAAAAGAATTCAAGAACAGCACTCCCCACACCAGATTTCTACGTGTTTTTAACAAAAAGCATAGAAAGAAAAAAATCAAGCTACGTATTCAACAGACTCCATAAACAGGTTGATCCGATGCCAGAACCCATTCAACTTGAATTGGCCTTGAGTAGTGTTCTCAAGTTGATTTATAACCCAAGTCTCTTTACTATTCAAGGCAACACACAGCCCCAAGCTCAGGCATCAAAACAGCAACCAACAAATTAGCATTATCCTTGCAAAACTCAATCAAACATCTGCACCCAAAGACTGACACAAAAAGGCACCACAGCGCACTCCAGGACGGCACAAAATATAAAACTGGATTCATATATTTCAATGGGATGTGGCCATTTTTGAAAAGTATTTGCCACATGCCTTTTTGCTTTGATATTTAATTTTCTATTTTAGTTTAACACACTTGCTAAACATCACCAGTCACAAAGGTTTTATCTGTAAAAGCCTTCAATTGTGGATTTTTTAAAAAAAGGATACTACATCACAATTCTAATAATTTTAACCTTCTATAGAAATAGGATATTATTTTTGTTTACCGAGTATCATCTTAACTCTTCATTTTACACATAAACTAAGTCCAGTGACAGTAAATGACTTGCCCAAGGCCCAGAATCCCAAGAATCTTTAGCAACATGACATACTGTTCCCAAGTAAAATATTCTAAAAGTAATCCACTTAATGCTGTTGATGTGAAATACTGACTTGTTTCTCTCAAGGTACAGTACTCTGGTGTTCTGTAGGCTATTAACAGATACTCAGCAAAAGGGTATTCTTGGGTCACATCAGTTTGCAAACCAGCCGCCAGGGAATCTAAAGCAAAAATGAGCTCACGATCAGCAATCCAGCCAGACAGTTGAGGAATGCACGTCAAAGAGGTAATAAACAAAAAAATCTGCACCCAAAAAAGGAGACTCCATAGAGAAAATGGAGGAGCAACTTTAAAAATAATTCCTATCCTTGGAAAGATAAAAGGGGGAAGCACATACATGAAAAAACAAGAAGCGCCGTTGAGCAAAGAAATCTTTATAATTTGTTTCCCAAAGAAGCAATGATCGAGAACAAGGTTATTGACTAACAATCTGAGAAATTAAAGGCGAGACAACAAAGAGAAATTGAATTGAAATCTGAGAAAAGTAGAGACAGAATAAGGTTCTTAACTTACTGGGGAAAGAAAGATTTAGAAACTGATTTTATTTTTTTAAGTGCTTCTCAAATTAATACGTTAAAATCTGTGTTAAAATTCAGAATTGATAGTTAGAACAAACCATTAAAGGGAAAAAGTAAAGGGCATGGATTTACAGATATAGAAAACGGTCTGGGAGGGCCACTGGTCCAGTAACAACGAACTGCTCATGGTTTGTTTCCTCACCTGTTTCCACACAGGTCCAAATGTACCGTCCACTTGTTCCTCTAGCCTTAGCACCAGCTTCATCTGATCCTTTCCAAAGACCTCACCTTTCTCCTTGCTCCCAACCCTCATTCCACTGCATGATGAATTTCTATCCTAGCATCTGTAACACTTTATTACGCTGTTATTTACAAAACCATCATGTTCACCGGACGGAAGTTCCTCGAGGGCTAGCACAGCCTCTTCATTTCTGAGTCTCTTACCACACTGTAGCTGCTCAATGTTTGTTGAATGGCTGAAAACAGAGGCAATTTTTGCACATTTAAAACTCTTAGGGACTAGTAAGAGACTGTACATGAGCAAGGCCATTGATGATTAAATAATGGTCAATTTAGGGGGCAAGGAGCATGTCTAAGTTACTCCTGCATTTCTAGAAAAATCACCCTGGCATCTTTTTTTGCTAAGTTCAGAAATCAGTGGATGACACAGGATGGACTAGACAGTGTTAAGGTGCCTTCCGTCTCCAAGGCTCGAAGTTTCAAGAATTAATTTTGAGAGACACTTGCACCGCCTGACCTTGAAATCATATCCCACCTGCAGAAGCTCTATGTCTTCACGGTTTTCAGATCCAGGAGCGTTCTCCATCAGTATGGCGGACATCACTTTCACATTCATCTTCACCATATCCAACTCACTGTGCAATTTTCCAATCTGTAGAGAGCAACACAGTCATCAGTGTCACAGTCAGTACGTGTGACGCATAAAGAATGGCTACCTAGTTCCCTTCTCTCAGGGGACACTTGCTGGGAGAGAAAATGCTTCTGTAAAATTAAATGTTGTCAAATTTATACTTAAATTAATATAAATATATATACACATTTTACAAATGTGTAATCTGTCACCTGAAAGGACTTAAAGGTTGCTCATAATAAATCCAAAATATGCTCTAGGAACGTTAAAAATGAAGAAGGGAAATCAGATGAGGAGCGATATGGAGAACGGGAAGGTGACTATACCAGAGACCCGGACGAAACAGAAAATGTTAGTTTGGGTTTCTTGGTGACCGATGGGAAAAAAGAAAAAAATAATAAAGGTGTTACAGTTTTCATGGTATTAGGGAAGAAAGAATCAAGAGAGAAACATTTTTTTTCCCTTCCTGGATTAAATTCTAAGAGAAATTAACTGCATGGATCTTTACATAATGCTGAATACCACTACTACAAAGTCTTCAATGATAGTTCCCTTAAAGCAGGGCAGGAAAGAGCTTCAAACAGGGTGGGGCAAAAGTAGGTTTGCAGTTGTGAGTACATGAAATGCAGAGTTTATTGTGTTATTATTGATTAATTATTGCATTATTTTCCATATGAACCACTTTTCCCCCACCCTGTATAATAACTGCTCATCTGGACCTTTGATAAACAGATATAGACAAACAAATAAATGTAATTCAGTTAGCACAATAAATACTCATAATAAGGCTACCATGTACTGAGGTGTCTGAAATGGTGTTTGGACAGTCCTACCCAAAACAATAAAAGTCAGCTAGTTGACAAAGGATCCATTTCAACACCCAGCCTCCAAAAAGGCACGAAAGCCACTAGGCAAGCAGAACTGTTCAGAGTTCGGGCTCTAGGGTCAGACAGGATCCATGGGATTAAGTCCACTTAGAACTAAACCATGACAAGTCACATAGTCTCTTCCTCTGCAAAATGAGAGCAATAATAACATTGTTAAAAATGTTACCTCATAACATTGTTAAAAAGAACAAACAAACTGTATAAAAACTGCTTAGAACTTAGGAAAAGTCCTCAATAAATTCAGCTCTTGCTATCATTACCTGTTCTGGGACCAACGTAATAGTCAAGTTCTTGGATACAATTACGGAAGAAAGAGCCGGTGCAGTAGGGACAGACGCTGGTGGAGTTGATGAGATCTGAGCAGTCTATCAAGATGAAATATGGAAAGATTATTATTTAACATTTATTGATGTAAACACCCCAAGGCCAGCTTTTTTCCCACTCAGATGACTTAATCACTTTCTCTCAACCAAAGTCCAGGTTAGAGGGTGTTAGCTCAGAGTAAATCACCAAGTGTCCAACCCTGCCCAGCGTTTGGAGAACAGTGCTAAGCAAATGCTGTGCCCAAAACAGAGTAAGTAGTCAATAAAAGGTGGCTATTATGATTATTAACTGAATTGAAATTTAATAAAATGCACTTAGTTGTTGTTTTGTTTTTAACCAAGGGTCTACAGGACAAACTGCCATGTGAGATTACTGCTGCCCTCTTTTTGGGTTGTTAAAGACAAGTGGCAAATCAATTCGTGTCAAGTCTTTCTAAGCTACAGCTGGCGAGGTGCTCCTTGGCCACCAACGAGCACCTCCCGGAATCAATGCTGCATTTCCAACCTCGGGTGGAGAGCCCAAGCACAGGGCTCGAGGCCAGAGCTTCTCAAGGTGAATGTATAGAAAAATCACCTGGAAATCTTGCAAAAATGAGATTCTGATTTAGTCTAGGCTAAAGATTACACCCGAAATCACACTTTGGGTAAGTAAGTAGCAAGGTTCTAGGCCACTACTACACTGTGCCTTGGAAGAAAGACAAAAAGGGGTATGGTGAGCAGGCTCGTGGGCAGGTGAGAGAATGGGGCAGAAGGCGAATAGCCACACAAATAGGAGAGCTGGCCCTCAGGACAAAGCCTCCTTGAAGATAAGACTTCTGGTATTGCTTATTCCAAAATAGGACTCACCAAACAGGAAAGAACTCCTGTTTTTGCATTATAGAAACTACAGAAAGTGAGGAGGTGAATTATAACTAGCCACTCAAAGTGTTCTAGTTCAAAACCTTGAAAATTATTTGCAAACTTAAGAATATATGTGAATATCTAGAAAATCTCTCAAGGACACAGTATCAATCATAAACAAGTATATTATAAGACTACCCAAGGCAACGACCCTTGTCTAGCAGCAATCCTTTCTTTTGAAAGCTGCCTTCTCCTCTTCTATAGCCAAATGATTTCTAATTGGAAATAGAAAACTGACCCAGGTTGGTTCAGGGGGTCTCTTCCTCCCAGGTTTTTTGACTTGGAATCTGTAAAAGCTAAAGCTACCACATGAAAATTTGGGAGCTATGTTATCTGCTACATGGAAGGAGTTGGCCCTCAATGAGAAAAAAGAATGAAGCCGGTGATCAGACGACCATATAGAAGGAGACATGTAACAAGGGGCATTTGAGTGGTTCATGGTTGTTCAAAGATCCAGCCAACACCAACCTTCTGGTGGCTTACTGATTCTAGGAGATACTGCAATATCCTTCTAATAAATTCGTCTTTTTTTGGTTACGTTGAACGGAGCTAGGATTATCTCTTTCAATGAGAAAAGGCCCATGTCATACACCAACTCCCTCTACCCAAGTCAAAGAAAAGGCCTCCTACCTCTTCTGCTGTTTCGGACTCTGGGTCCGAGGGAGGAAAGTGAACCCCCTTCTTAAGCAGGTCAAGGTACACTTCTTTCACTTCATTTACATCCACGCCTCCGGGGAAACCCTGAGACCAAGTCTGAAAACAACAGCAAAACCAAAATACAGTTCTTAAGCTGGGGGCTGAAAAAGAGATTGACAATTACGGACCTTACTCAGAAACACAAAGCTCCTTCTGAGTGCCAAGGACAAACTGAACATTTTCAGAGACTAGACTAACAACATAAAATCTGTTTCATCATCACACTCCCCTGCCTCAACATTTTAATGAAACCCGGGAACCGTTACTACGGATTGTTTTTTGCTGTACTAAAGCCAGAATTAATAGACATGTTCTAAAACAGCATCAGTAGCTCTTTTGCCCAGTAACTTTGAAAGTAGTCAGTTATCTACTCCAGACATAGTTTTCATAGCTGTAAAATGAATGTACACATTACTCTCTTTCCCATCTGACAGAAATGGAGAGAAAGCAGGAAAGTGACTATAAATTCTTTAGGGGGAAAAAAAGGCATCATCCAATGCCCCAAAATTATCATTACACAGAAAATCAAACAGTAAAATGCATTCTGGCTCAATCCGAGGTTTCTAAAGGACCATGACACTGACTGGTATGTAATTAAATCTTGTATCGTAGAAGTTTTCCATCCCATCAGGCATACAAGATTCTTACCTTAATGAAGTTCAAGATTCTATTCTGAATGTTTAATGGCAGCGTGTATCTGGGATTCAGCAGCTTAACTAGACTATCTTTAACGAACTCCTTCTTTACAATCAGAGATTGGAAACTTGGACCACAGTTCTGCATGCACATGTCAATAAGCTAAATTAGAGGAAAAAAATTAAACGGTAAATTTCTTCGGTAAACCCACTTTCCTAAATATAAGGTGAAAATTGCTAAGTAACGATTTCTAGCAGCATTCTAATTAACGGCATTTAGTGTCTATTAAAACATCTGGCAAAATGCAAGGTTCTGGGAATGTGAGGAAATGTAAGGCATAATGTAACTGCTGAGGATGGACTTCTTGGGGAGTCAGGACACAATTATAAGAGCTAATAATACATAATATAAGGTAGTAAATGCGAAGTAGGAAGAAAACATGTGGGCTACAGACAGGGTGACAGTTGTCTCAATTTTCAGGAAAGTCCTGGTATATCCCTGTTGTCCTTGCTTATTAATGATGATACACCCTTTCCCTGTCAAAAGTGTCCTGGTCTGGATGATAAACTACATAGTCACCATATGTTATAGACCTTTATAGACAGATGTGATAACTTAGGGCCAGGTGGTTAAAACTTTTGGAAAAGGCTGGTCCTGAACTGGGCTCTGAAAAATAGCTAAGAAAAGTGCCAATTATTGTAGAGCTATATTCTACACAGGTAAATATTTAAAAAATATAGCCCTGGTCAGTGGGGCTCAGTTGGTTGGGCGTCGTCCTGTGCACCAAAAAGTTGCCAGTTTGATTCCTGGTCAGGGCACATGCCCGGCTTGTGGGCTCTTCTGCCCCCCAACCTGTGACTCTCCCCCTTATTTTGGCACAGGCTTTAGATTCCTTAGTTCTCGGGTACTGGTGCGGAAATCATGAGGTGGTGGAAATACAGGTACCCGAGGTGGAACAGGTAATGGGAACAGGCAGCTAGCTGGTAGTGAGGCTTGAGAGATCAGACGACCTAAAGGGGAGGGAGAGTGGGAACCCGAAGCGCCAAGGAGTCAGTATGTCAGAAGAAGGGCCACTGGAATGACCCAGCTTCCCCAGGGAAGGGTCCCCGTTCATCCTCAGAAGGAACCACCATGGAGAAAGGGAGGAAATAGAGATAAGAAACCACCAGAGAAATGTCAAGTAGGCTGGGTACAACAGAGAAGAAGCTCATTACAGAGAGGAAACTTCTGTGGGGTGAAACGATAACCACCTGCTAAAACATAGAAAGTGGCATAAATTCAGCTTCTGCCCTTATCTTCCTCACTCAAGTTTCCCAACCTTTGGCAGCCTGGAGACACTCTAGATCCACTTCATTCCAAAGCTACATGCGTTTCTACCCAGACTCTATAGCACCTTCTGTTAGCCCTTGAGTGTCCTTAAATACCAGGAGAGGTGGTGCTGGGGGTGGGGCAATACACCATTATGCCAACATCTAATGCATGATAGATGGGCCCTACACCATGCAAGAAGGACTTGAAGGCATGGATGAAAGAAAATAGTCACGGGGATGGCAAGTACAGCACAGGAAATACAGTCAATAGTATTGTAACAACTATGTATGGACCCAGTTGGGTACTGGAAATATAGAGGGGAACAAGGTAAAGTATGTGATTGTCTAACTAAGCTGCACACCTGAAACCAATACAAAATATTGAAAAAAAAATCTGAGGAAATAAAAAGACAAAAAATACAGTAGCCATTCTTTCAAGGGGCATGATTTGTTCTGAGAAACAAGATGGTATGGGGCAAGGGCATGGGGTTTAGACTCTGAGGACAATGCCACTTCAATCTTGGGGGGGAAATCACTTAATCTCACTAGTCTCAGTTTCTTCATTTATGAAATGGAGTTAATAATACAGCTACTTCACAGGGTTGTTGAGAGCATCAATCTGGTATCAGGAAAGGCTTATTTCCATCATCAGTCTACTGTACAGATATTCCTACCGAAGTGCCTGGCCCTTCTCCAGAGTTCCCTCCATTCTGTGAGTTTTCTTTCCCATGAAACTAGGAAACGGAAACGGGAGCTGTGCTCACCTCTGCCCCCATGGCCCGCTTGATAAACACTGCCAAAGCCCCTAAGAGCAGCGTGATGCTGGCTGATTAGTGCCACAACCATGCGTGGCTGGGGCTGGGCTGATGAGGTCCAAAGGCATGCAGAAGAAATCAGAAAGCCACACAGCTCACTCTCAGGCAGCAGGCAAAGCTTGCAAAACGTACCAAACAAAAGGGCAACTCACCAAAGGGACTGAAGAGGTCATATGGCCAGGGATGGGGGGAAAATGGTAACAGGTCAAGTAAGTGTCCATACCCAATTCGCAGACAATACGGCACATGGGGGAATTTCTTACATCCACAAAGAACTTCCTCCCCGTGATAACAAGCAGCAGAACTCGGTTGCAACTCAATGAGCTGCCAGCACCTCGGAATTCCGTAAAGGTGCTCAAGTGCAATACAAAGCTAATGGGGGAGCATTTTTCAAGACGTCAATTCCTACCCTGCGTAACACATACACACACTTTTTGATCAGCTCAGTACCTATAAGTTTAACCACCACTTCCCATCTCCTGACCAGGAAAATTGAATTTCCAGGAACACTCTTTCCACAAAATTAAATGCTATTACAATCAACTACACTCTCTTGATTCTGCAATTCTCAATAGGCAGTTTTAGTTCAAATTGTAAATAATTTTTTTGCTAACCTATTAATGATCTCAGAGTATTTATGTAGATATTTATTTATTTTACCCAGAATCAAAATGTGACTATAGCTTGGGAAATCCTAGAGTCTTAAGTATAACATAAAAGTACTTACTGACAAGGTAAGCTCGATTTCTTTATGATTGTAGTTTTTGGAAATCCTTTTCTTCAAAGCTTTTACTGCATCTTTTGGCCTAAGCAGTAAATACAATGCAATCATCAATTTAGGCAGCGCTGAAAACAAGGAGGCTGCAAAGCAACGGGCACTGTGAAAGGAGGGGTGGCTAAGGAGAAGACCGCGGCCTTGGTTCTGCTGTGTGAGCCTGGGCAACACTTCTCACACTTGTTTCCTCAGACATCGCGGCAGACAAAACCACCTACCTCCTTGTGAGCATCAAATATTTACTCTAGCACTGTTTACAATAAAAACTGGAAACTTAAATATCCAATAGTGTGGAGTGAATAGGTAACTTGTGGTAATTCCTATTAAGAAATACTCTGTGGCTTTCCAAAATGTCTTATTAAATGGAATAGTAATTAAGATACAGAAAACAGATTCATCAATAGTTAACAGCAAAAGAAGTGGGTTATGAATCAATATTCCAAAATGTTAACCATAGTTTTCGTTGGGTGGTGGAGTTATTTGCGGTTTTTATTTTATGTTTATCTGCATTTTGTAATTTTTTTCTGAAATTCATACATCACTCATGTGACTGTATTGCTGAAAAATGTTTAAAATTAAATTTTAACCAGTGACACACACACACACTTACATGAGAGTATGACTTAGAAAGCACTCCATGTGAAATGTACTTATACCCATATCCCTCGATCAATGTACAGAACAATTATACAGAAAATGTAATTTCCAAAACAATGAAGATTGCCCATTTTCATTAAGACTATTAGTACTTCCCGAGCATCCTAGAGGCAGGGGATGAAGGAGGCGTGACAGCTAACCAGGTCAGCTGCTGATAAGCTACAATTTTGTTGCAAAAGGAAGAACTGTGTAGTATTAAGAGGAGGGTCAAAATTTACTTTGAGATGGCCAAACGGTATAAACTTCCAGTGATAAGACAGATAAGTCATGGGGCTGTCATCTGCAACAGGATGACTATAACTACAGTTAGCAGTGCTGTATGGTATATTTGGAAGTTGCTGAGAGTAGACCAAAAGTTCTCATCACAAGGAAAAAAAATTCATAACTATGTGAGGTGAGGGATGCCAACTAAACTGCCTGTGGTAATCACTTTGCAATATATGTATGTCAAGCCATTACGCCGTACACTTTACACAGTGCTGTGTGTTAATTATATCTCAATAAAACGGAAAAACAAAACAAAACTCCAGCACAACAAATCCTTTTTACGTATTATCTTCCAACTCTGTTATGTTTGCATGGGTAGGCTACTATTTTATGATGGTAATGATATAATATTACATATGCTTACATGACATTGTCACTGTTATAAAATACATTATTATATGTTTTCTATATTTCTAAAAAAAATCCTATATAAAATTTAGAATTAAAGTCTTGGAGAAATTTAAAAGAAGAAAGATACTGTTTTAAACGAAAAAAATTTTAACTTTGAGATTGCCTTTTTGTATTGTCAATGAAGAAATCAGTATTATCAATGAAGGAAAGGTTCACAGAGGAACCAAATATGGGAAACAAGATTACAACAAAAGCACCATAAATACTTTAGAGTACTAACCATAAGCACTTTCCATTGATATAGCTGATCATTAAGTGTAATGTTTTCTTCAACATAAACTACACCAAATCTCTCTCGCTGTCACCATCACTTCAATATACACAGTAAAATAAACAGAATTGAATCGCCCATAACAATCTGTGATTCAGACAAAAATCACAAAATAGTTGGCCTTCTTAACAATTTTTTTTTTTTTTTTAAACTTCAATTCTCTAACATTTCAAAGCAGAACAAAAGATTACGTGTCATTTAAGAGCACAGCATAAACACGGGAAAATTGGCCTTTGGAGGGAAAAAATCTGTCTTGTGACAGGGAGGGGAAAACAAGACTGCTAGATTATTTCCTGCTTACGATAGTGACAACTGCCCAGGGACAGCTTACCCCAGGAGTCTACTAGCTTCCTGATACTATTTTTTCAGTTATAGTAATACAAAGTATTGGCAATCAGAGCAGGGGGAATTCCTGAAAAAGAAAACGATCTCTCTCAAAAAAATTTTTTTTTCTTAAAGAACAAGGAATTTGAGCCAAGATTCGAAATTATTAGGGAAATGGCAAAGAGGAGAAAAAATTATAATGGATTCTCAGACATTGCACATGCTGAAACAAGCAGCTCTCCTAATAGTTCAACCTGGCATGTCTTCAAAAGGCAGTGGGCACCTAAGGGGGGATGAAAACACTCTTTCAACAAAACCCAAACAGTCTGCAAGAGAAAACGCACTGTAGCTCTGATGCTTCTTGTCAGAGGCAAATGAAAGGACCACACTCTGTACTCACCCATCGCTGGCCGTGTTGATTATGTCACAGATGTGCATGAACTGGCCCCAGTCTTCAGTCTGAACTCCAGCAAATGTAGCCTTTTCTGCAAAGAACAAGCTGTTGTGTTGACTCTGAGCTACCACAGAATGAAAAATGTCTGGTCTTCCTGAAATAATCTGCCCGGGGTTTGCTAGCAAGTACCATTAACTTTATATTACCACAGGGCAAAGATTTTTTTTATTTTTTTATTTTTTTACCTGAGCAATTCTCAGTAATTCAGGAATCAATCAGAATTCAAGTTCAGTAATGAGTGACCTATTAATAAAGGCTGCGGGCACAACACCTGGCTGCAAGGCTAGGCCAGGGTGGCTAAATCTCCATCTGCCTGCCTGTTTTTCAGAGGACAGGCACCTGTGGAGGAGCCACCTACAAGGGGAAGACCACAGTGCCAAGTATTTTAGCTTATGTGATTTCATTCAACCCACTGTTAGAGATGATGAAACAGAAGTTCAGAGAAGTACGCAAGGCTACGCAGCCAGTACAGGTACAGCTAGCATTTTTGTTTCTTAAATTCATTTATTCACCTGGAGGAGGCACTGTTAAGAAAAAGAGATCAGAACTACTAAAATTGTCTGTGTCCTTTAGCCGACTTAAACATTCAGATATCTCTCTCTCCAGACACCCTCTTTAAGAACACAAAATGCTGTCTGGGAAGGGTACTGGAACACTCAACCTGAATGAGCTTAACATCTTCCCTACAAGAAAGGAGAAGATCCCTGAGCATGAAAACACCAGGTCAGGGGGGAATGAAGAGAAAACTGAAATAGATAACAAAGAACCTGGATGGGTTCCTCCATCTAAGAAAAGAACTCGTTGACGTAGGCATTCAATGGACAAACCTGACCAATCCTGTGTGGTTTAGACACATACTATCATCGTTCCTTTAGCCAGAGTCCTTGCCCCTCATTCCACGCTCTTTCTCTCATCTTCCTAGAAAACTCCTATTCACCCTTCAAAACCCAAGGCAGAGTTCACTTCTCCCTTTTCCTAAGTTTTGGGTGTTTCACCATTTTCTTATACTGGAAAGGTGCCACATTACAGTTACTACAAAGCTGTGTCGGTCTTCTCTACAAAATTGTGCGTTCCCTGAGGGTTGAGACCAGGTCTTACCTTTGCCAGACAGGCCCAAGCAGTCAGTAAACATTTGCATCACTAAAGAATCAATCAGCCTATGAAGATGCAATCTGAATCCATTTCTGCTCTGAAGCCATTTCTGCCCTGAGTTTAATTACTATCCAACAGGGATATAGCCAACAATAGTTTAGAAATCATTTCCTCCTCACTGATAGCTATTCTCGCCATTTTATAAAGACGAGGGGACTGACCTTCAGGTGAAGTGGTGTGTTCCAGGTCACACAGCAGCTCATTAAGCTGCACCCCAAATCTGAGCCGCCTCGCCTCGCTGAGTGCCTAACATTACCTGGCTTTGCTTGGTACCACATGCACCGATGCCACACCTGGTTCCCCCAGGGGGCCAGGGAGGAGAGGGAGAAGGGAGCTGGTGCTGCTGGAACAGCCAGTCTCTGGCGTCTGCCGACAGTCTTCAGATACAGCCGGAGGGGAAATGAGGTGGGCAGATACCTGCGTGGTCCCTGGTGTCTGTGAGAGGCCTCTGGCGACTCCAGATGGCTCCTCTGCTCCCCACTTCTACACACACCAGGTATGAGCATTTTCAATCTCTTTGTTTACCCAGAAAAGTCACTCGGCTCCAGGGAGAACAGGTCTGAAGGGGCCTGCCCCGCACGGCGCGGCTGCATCCCCGCCCC